AAACAAGTGAAAAAAAAAAAAGGGGAAAGAGGGAAAAAAAACCCCCCCCCCCCCCCCACCCCCACAAAAAAAAAAAAAAAAAAAAAAACTTCAGGAGAAACTGACTCATATCACTCCTTTGGGTGCCATAACACTTCATCCCAGATGCATGCATGCATGGTGGTTATTTATTAATAACTCAATAGAGCCCATGAATAGAGGATGCAGACTCTGTTCACCTTAGAAAGAAGTAGTAGTTGTTGTTTTCGGTGACGCTGTAGGAGAAGCAAGGCAAGTATCCCAGGCCACTGACGTTGAACCTGGAGCCGGCGGGGACCTCCAGCATGCTGCCCCAGGACTGGTCGCACAGCAGCTCGATCTCTGCGGAGAAGAGCAGGTCGGTGTCGTGCTGCCACGGCAGGTAGTTGTACACGCTGTAGGACTCTTTGTGCAGAGCCAGCACCTTGGCAAAGACGATGATCTCCGCCAGCTCAGCGCGACACGCTTCCGTCTGCGGTCTCCAGTCGTGGGGTAACTGACACCCCCAGCTCCCATCGGTGCCGCCAGCTGCCAAAAAAACCCCCAGAATAATCCACATGATGCGACGGAGAGGACACATCTGTCGCTCCGCTGGGCGCTTAAAGGCGCACAAGACTAGGGGTGGATGCAATTAAGTGGGGTGGGGTGGGGGGGAAAGGTGTTTCACATGTGTTTTCAGTTATGCAAAAAATAATTTTTCTCCAGATCTGTTGTCGGATTTTGCAAGATGAAGAAGCCCTGAAGATCGCTCCAGTCAGTGTAATCCTGCTAACTTGTCCGACCAGAGCTGCAGCCTAACCACGCCAGCATCCTCTGCAAGAAACTGCCCCTTACCTCTGAGACAAGGCGAGAAGCAAGGGAAACACGTTTGTGAACACATTTAATAAAAGTTTCTATAAATTACTATGTAATAAAAAAAGAGCCTATGCTATTCCCAATAGTTTAACATTATGTTAAAGGTAATTCATTTCAACAAAATCCTTAGAAAAATTTAAACATTAAACAATTACACTGATAAAATGCCGCTGGCGCCCTCTGATGGACATCTTGGAGAACGACAGTGGTTGGGTTAATTTCTTTGAGTTTTTAATGAAAAAAAAAACAACAACAAAAGCTTTCATAATAACGACAGTCATTTTTTCTTTTTATTACCGTTAATATCAATCAAAAATGAATGACTCTTTTAATATGGTCAGTTTAAGCCTAGTCTTGAAAATTTAATCGCTCTTAAAATATTTTGTAACAAAAAGATTTATATAAAACTAAAATAGTGATTTGGACATCATTAAGAAAATGTGTAGTTACAGTCATGTATCAATTATCATAGTGAAATATTAAAGAACGATTACATTGATGTAAGTCCGGTTTATACTTAAAAGCTTAAGTATAGGTGATTAAGAATTTTTTTTTTTTTTACAAAATTAAAAATGATCACATTAAGTCTAGTTTCTTTGAACTTTAGTTTAACTTATAATTTCATAATACTGAAAACATGTATTTACCACACTTGGTTTTTTATTCATATAATTACTCAACTTTACAAAGTGTTTAAACTAAACTCCAATTTACTTTCTTATTTAATTGTATAGTTTTTGTGTGGTTTGTTATTGTTTACTGCTTTCCAGCCTGTTGTTTCCTATCACTTTATTTTGGTCTGTTTGAAAAAAGCTCTGTAAATAAAAACATGGTTAATTCACTGCCCCTGCTCCTTTTGTCCTTGATGCCCCTAGTCCAATAAAAGTATTTCAAAAATGTTTTATTAAATAATTAATCCTTTGGCTGTAAACAATGATATTTAAGACATTTGGAATACCTCATGTGGAATTAAGAGTGATTTGCATTATGGATAGCTGAATTATCCATCTATTTGGACGAAGACTTTTTCAATTATGAATACTACCATGAGAAATCGTACACTATTAAATGACAAATCAGCCTGACATATATCGAGTCTCTTTTGGGAGAAGGCGAAGATCGAGAGGAGAGAGAAGAAGAAGAAGAAGAAGAAGAAGAAGAAGAAGAAGAAGAAGAAGCAGCAGCAGCAGCAGCGCTGATCCACGTCACGTGACTGGGAAAAGCATCCTTTTGGTCCATTTTGGATGTTCCCAGGATCTCCCGAGTAATCTAGGAAAATGACCAAACTTCAGTTTTTGAACGTCTTTCTGACTGAGCGTCTTATGCTTGCCGCACAGGAGATTTACAAGTCTGTCGAGGACACGATTTTGGAGTACCAGGAGGAGATCGCGATCAGGGAGAGGGAGAACGACCATCTGAGACGGAGGCTCCGAGACGCTGGGATAGAGATATGGCCAGGTTAGCTATTTTAAGGAGCTAACGGGGAAACTGTTTGCGTCGTTGCCACCAAGTCATGCTAAAGCTAGAGTTATTCAGACAAAGGGGGGATAGGCGTTTGGAACAAATGTCTAATTTATTAATACGATGCTGAAGAATAACCTCGCAGAACTGTTGTGGAAATCTCAGTGTTATTAGCTGCTGCTGAGAAGCGGCTAACATGTTAGCGACCTTTGTTCGTTAGCCAGTCAGCTAGCAGACATCCAGTTTAGACCTGACCGAGTGTAGTTTAACTCTTTCTTTGCGCTTTAACAGTTTATTTTAAATAACCCTGCATTAGTTCGGCATGCAGGGACACACAACAAGTGATGGCAGCTGGAAAAATGTTTTGAGACCTTCTTTGGATTTTTTTGGAACATAACAGTGCATCAATAGAAATTATTAGCTGTGCCTTTATTTCTTTTTTTTTGTTTGTTGTCTTGATATGTCTGCCCGCTCCCGGAAGCACTTTGGTGTATAGAACATGCTAATAAACGCATAAATAAAAACCACAACAAAGAATATTCAGGCTTGAAACAAAAAGACACTCAGCTGTTTTATATTTTTATCTAAAGAAACATAGTTAAATCTCGGTAGTAAGTTAGAGATGAGTTCCAATTTTTGATTTGAACCTAGTGTGGGCTAATTAATCACAATTTCAATTCACAAAAAGCAGACTTTATCTGCTTTTTGTCACATTGTAGTGTTTTAGATCATTAAACTAATTTCAGTTCCAAAGTTAACCAACCAGTTATTTCCAGAATAACTGGTTGGACCACCAATGGGAATAAGAAGTGCCCACAAGTCTTTGTGCTAACCAACTGTACTGTTATATTGCTGTGGAGGTGTGTATTCTGACTGGTTTCTCTCCAGACTTTGAAATCAATTGAAAGTCTCTTTGAATTAACTTCCTTTGCCTCCATGTGACATGTCCTTGGTTGCACAACTTTTATTTTCATCCTTTCCACTTCTTGCCTCTTTCCTTTCAGATCGCTCGTCCATGGCGCTGCTGGAGGAAGAGGACGGTGAGCATCCCCGTCGAGAGTGGAGTCCAAGTATGGGACATCAAGAGCGTATTCCCATTCAGATCAAAGACAAAAGAGACATGCGGCCCAACCAGGGAGAAGATCAGCTTCGAGGACATGGCTCCTGCAGTGCCGCAGAAAACATGTTCACCCCCCCACGTGTAGCAAACGAATACCCTCAGGAGGGTCCCCACACATCCGGCCTTCCTCAGAATCAGGGCCTGGAGAACAGGGAGAGGGATCCTGCATCTCGCAACGCATCGAGGCACGTGAAGGGCGAGAGCGGCGGCGGCGGCTGTCATAGAGGTGCCGCATCGTCCAGCAGCGGTGCCCAGCCTCTCGCGCCAGTCAACCCAAACTGCTCAAATGAGAACAACGTTGACATTATTGGAGTTGAGAACGGCGGACAGATGGGCGGCGCCAAAGGAGCGGTGACCGGCCCCAACCGAGGACAAACCCCTCTCATGAGGAACCAAGGGGCCAATGCCATGGAATGCCCCCATCAAAAATCTGCCCTGCAGGGCCACACGTCGTCGTTCTGCTGCAAAGTCTGCGGCGAGGCGTTCAGTCACGTCGGACACCTGCACGTCCACGTGCAGGTGCACACTCGAGAAAAGCCTTACCGCTGCGGAGTGTGCGGAAAATGCTGCAGCTCCTCCGGCAGGCTCCAGGAGCACCAGCGGAGCCACACGGGGGAAAAACCCTTCCGCTGCCAGATTTGTGGGAAGGGCTTCACTCAGATGGCTCACCTGAAGGTCCACATGAGGATCCACACCGGAGAGAAGCCGTACAGCTGCCCCGTGTGCGGCAAGTGCTTCAGCCGCTCTGACAAAATCAAAAGGCACCTTCAGACGCACAGTCGGGAGGGGACCTACTTCTCGGGGCAGTGATGGAAGGGGTTCACTTTGGGAGTCGTCGCCGTTGTTGTGGGAAAGTTTTCAATAAAAAGCTACATTTGCTGCCACTGACGAGGCATTTCTTCCTACTTCTGAGAACGTAGAAGTCCTGCTTCCGTAAAGAACACTTTCTAACCAAACTTGTAGTTTCTCACTTCCTTTATATAGTTTGTATTAGCCAGTTTAGTAACGTTCTTTACAGTGTTTTGTATTTATCATTACGTATTATTAAAGTAGACACAATTTGAATTATTAGCTGGACTTTTCAGGATTACGTAGTGTTTTTCCAGCCTTATGATTAGCATGGAGTCTTCCACACAAGCCTTGGAGCGGGGGACGTATCGAGAATGATCAGCACATTCAGTTTATTACCAGGTGGTCACTGTGTCCATGTGGCTGGAGCTGCAGACTACACATTTTCTTTGTGGTCATTCTTTTTGTTGGTTTTAAAATTAAGATTAAGCACAATTCTTAGTAATTTTTTTTTTTTTCAAAGTGTGTATCATGAAGCAGTACCGATAACTTAGAAAGTTTTGTTGAACGTTAACGCCATTCAGTGTGATTTTCTCAGTTGGACTTAATTCCGATTTTAATGTTTAGGAGATTTTAGTTTCGTCACACCAGTGTGATCTTGAGAACTTGGTTCAAGTGGATGGTAGTGCTGAAACAGTTCCCACCTCTGTCTGGTTTGGTTCATTTTCATACTGAAAGCAGACCAAACAACTTCATGCTGCAGCTGGTGAGGCGCCAACACAAAAAGGAGCATGTGGGTATGGCAAACCACTTAACATTTAATATAAAAAAAAAACCTTTTATCTCCAGTTATCATTTGAGTTACAGTCGCTCTAATTTAAATTTTTAGATATGAAGAATGATGCAGCTACAAAACTAACACATGAACGGAAAAGTCTCATTTTGTCACGATGAAAAAAATGCTTCGTTATTTCAAAGGTTAAAAACCTCAAACTAATGGAAAGACGACTGATTATGATTGTTGTATCTAACGTCTGACTTGACTTTCAAGTTTTGTTTCACTTTTGATCCCGTCTTTCTTCTGTCTCTTCAGTGCTGCTGCGTTCTTAGAGCAAATCACTGCCATCTCACGTGATCGGTGTCAAATCTAACGTGAGACTTCACCAGTAAAATAATGTGATATTGTGTGGAATGCCACTTGTTCTATCTCACTGTTATATTAGGAATGTATGGTGTTTTTTTGGGGTTTTTTTTGTTAATTCATAACATCTGCTGTGGTATCTTTGCTTGCAGATGCACAAATGAAGTTGAGCCAGACAGTATTAACAGAACCACTTGTCTATCAGTGCTAGGCGGGTAAAGGCTTAATGTGCACCAGTGTTTCCACAATGTGTGAAGTTTTTGGGGTTTGCATTTACTTTTTCGTGTTCACGTGAAAGCTGGGTTTTTACGAAATAATAAAAGTATTTTCTATTTACATTGCTGGGCCACAGAATTAAGTCTCCATTTACATCAGGACGTTGCATTACAGAGTGATATTTCGCTATAAAAAAAATAAATTTGTTTTTGTTTGATGCTGGAATAAGCACAAGCTGATTTGTATTGCAGATTTTAGCTAAAAGATGAACCAACCCAAACTTG